CTCACGGTGCTGTATTTGGTGGTAGCTCATTCCTATTTTTGCTGAGGACTGTGTGTGTCTGCCCTAACTGATGCGACCACTCTACCAATGGACATTTTGCTCTGCTGGAAGTACTTCCCCAGCTACTCTGGAATTCAAATCAACATGTACTGGAAAAAGAAAGGGAGAAACCGAATATATGAATTTAAACAATCACGTTTTGGTAGAGCAAACACGTTAGCCTCTAACCCGAAGTTGCAAGACAACGTGTTGCTCTCTGTGGCACTGCAGGTAAATCACGCTGTGCGAGGCTTTGGCATCATTACCAGCTTTCTCTGACACACGACTTTCAAATGGCATCTGAAATTGGCAAATTAAGCTAGAAATATAATGTGGCAATAAAAATGAGACATTTTGATTTTCTAAGATACTGTTATTGAAGATGAATTATAATGCTAAGCTTTGGAGAGAAAGCCCTCATTCACATGAGCTGTACTAATTAATGTTTGTTTGATATCACAATCCCCTGGTCTCTTGCCCTTCCCAAGAAAAAATACTGTGCGAAATAAATTTATTTCTATGAAGAAACAGAATGTAACTTCATGAATCACTTTAAAAGAGGTGTTTTGCCTCATTGCTCTCTCCCACAGTGTCTCTGGAAGACAAATAAGTAAAACATTGAAAAAGAATAAGGGATGTAGGAAAAGCAAATTTTAAGGTCAGATTTTAAATTTCTAAGTGCTATGCTAGACAGGGCTAATACAGTTAACTTCAAACTGTAATGACAGCCTTTATTAACATTAAATCCAACACAGAAAAATAAACTTTCCTCACATGTTGACCACGTGCCAGGCACTCTTCCAAATATTGTAGGTCTATCAACTCCTTTAAGCTTCCCAGTGATCTTCGAAGCTCTGGCCTACTGCTATTATGATTCCCATTTTACAGATGTGAGAACAGAGAGGCTGAGCAACTTGCCTAAGGTCACACAGCAGAGCCACAAATTGAATTTAGGATCCTGACTCCCTAGGTTGTGTGCTCAGCCACTGTGCCATCACTGCTTCTCAATAAGTCTTCACAGAAAACATTCCCGCATGGCAATGAACAGTTTTAATTATAACAGGAAAAAGTATAGATGGAAAGAAGGAAAACAGTCACCCAGCATCCCACTTAGCTATTTTTCTGGTGACTTTTCTCTATGTGCATACATATGTGCAAACAGCAAGAGAGATGAACACAAATGTGCATCAAAAGACCCAGTCAGAAAATTCTGTCCAAAGGACAAAAAAAGTCACCCAGAATCCCACTTTCATACCCCTTTAAAAACTGCATCGAAAATTATAATAACCTAGGGGAAAGAGCATGAGGATGATAAGCTGCCTTCCTCATTAAATGAGATAATCATTCCAAAGTGAGTTGCAGAGACCTGGGTTGTCAGTGAACGTAGGCAGAGTTTTTGACTTCAGAGGATTAACTTAAACCCTTTACAGATTCTCAAGCCGGTGCTGATGCAAGGCTGCAGGGTATGAGAGCTACGTGCAACCAACCTACGACTCACTCAAACCAGATTCTCTTTTCCCTTGTGTGTAGGTATCCACACAGCAATACACTGTCCCAGACTGTTACCCTATATTTCTGTTACTTATTTTCCTCTTTCCAGGAAGACTGCCTCTTCTATAAAAATAAATGTTGGGAGCAGGGAGGAAAGGAGGGAAGGAGGGAGAAAAAAAGGGAGGGAGGGGCAGAGAAAGAGAGAGACAGAAAGAGAGAGAAAGACTTTTTCAATTTTCAAGTTTGTTCCTATGCCCTTCCTACACACTCCTTGCCCTTGTGCCCCATATTAAATAGGGGCATAAAAACAACAACAACAGTAATAATACAGATAAAATGATGATAAAGAAAACCATTTCTGTAGGGCATATTATATTCTCAGTGCCTCTCAATTTTTTGAGAACACCTACAGTTTGCAAATTATAAAAACAATATGATTCTCATTTCAAAGTCTGTGCATCTCAACAGCCAGCTTTACACTGTTCTCATCAAAGGCCACTGCTGTCAGTACAATCCATTTTGTGCACATCAAAGTAGAAGCTTGACTCACAAGGTTGAAAGGCAGGAAGAGACTTGTGACATGATCTCATCCTGTGGTTGCCAATCCTGGCTATGCGTCAGAATCTTCTAGAAAGCTTTCAACAGTTCAGATCCCCAGGCCTCAACCTTAGGGTAGTCTAGACAGAGGCTATGGGCTGGGACCTGGGCATCTAAGTTTTTAACAAGCAACCTGGGGGTATAATGTATTAAGAAATACAGGACTCCCCTGGATGTCCAGTGGTTAAGACTCTACGCTTCCACTGCAGGGGGCATGGGTTTGATCCCTAGTCGAGGAACTAAGATCCCACAAGCAGTGCAGCGTGGCCAAAAAATAAATTAAAAAATAAATCTATATTTGGCCTTCATCTCTGTTCCTGGCACAGAGCTCCTAAAACTTAACTTTAAGAGCCATGAAGAAGACTTTTATCATTCATAACAAGCCAGCCCCTTTTAACCACATCTGAGTTTATGTTATTGAGGTGACTTTGGAAAAGCCCCTAAGGATGGGGGCCCCGGTTGCCAGGGGAACAAGTCATGTGATTAGAGGGCTGGGACTTTCAGCCTCACCGCCCCCCATCTCCAGGGAGGGGAGAGTAGCTGGATATTGAGTTCCACCATCAATGGTCAATGATTTAATCAAGCATGCCTACATAATAAAGCCTCCACAAATGTCCCTAAAGAACAGGGTTCAGAGAGCTTCTGGGTTGGTGACCACGGGGAGGTGCTGGGAGGGTGGCTTGTCCAGAGAGGGCATGGAAGATCCACTGCCCCATCCACTGCCCCCAGGATCCCCTCCCCCATACCTTCCCCTACGCATCTCTTCCATCTGGCCATTGCTGAGTTGCATCCTCTTATAATGAACCGGTAATCTAATAAGTACGTTGTTTTCCTGTGTTCTGTGAGCAATTCTAGCAAATGACTGAATCTGAGGAGGAGATCGTGAGAACCTCTGATTTGTAGCCAAGTAGGAACAGAAGTTGTGGGTGACCTGGGGACTCCCCACTTGCCATTGGCAACTGAAGTGGGAGGTAGTCTTGTGGGAGTGAGCCCTTTACCTGTGGGAGCTGCTGCCAACTCTGGGTTGATGGTGTCAGAACCGAACTGAATTGTGGGACACCCAGCTGGTGTCACAGAATCACTTGTATGGAAAACCCACACATCTGGTGTCAGATGTGGTGTGGGTAGCAGAGCATAGCGAGGGGAAACAGAGAGCAGTTATTTTTCTTACACTAGGAAATTCTAAAGCCGCTGGAACCAATGCTATGATTCATCTCATTGTTCAGGAAATGAAGCTGAAGCCCAGAAACTTACATGTAAAGGACAGCAACCATAAGCCTCATATAATCATGATAGCTAATACATACATAGCACTCACTATGTGCCAGGCACTGAAAGATACACTTGTATTATATCTGATATCTGTGTTGTAGCTACTGTTATTATCCCACTTCACAGACAAGGAGGCTGAGGTTCAGAGAGGTTAATTAACTGGCTCAAGGTCACACAGCTGGTAGGTGGCAAAACCAGCAGTCTGATTCCAGAGTTCATACCCTCAACCACTGGGCTATACTGCCTCATATAATTTATAGATATTCCTCACATCGTAGGACTCAGTCATTTTTGATGCTTTGAATTTATAGCCTTATACTCCAGAATGAAATCAAATTGGTAAGTTACATTGTCCAGTTTTAATACTGCCCTCTGTTGTCTTCTATATTTTACTTGTTTCTTTGGAATTCCTAAGTGCTGGGTAATATGTAAAATGCTTGGTGAATGATCTCCTTGAGTCCTCTCAGCAATTCTGTGAGCTAGGTGTTCTTATCCCCACTTTACAGATGAGAAAACCGAGGCTTAGAAAGCCAAACGACTTGCTCCAGGTCACACAGCTAGTAAGTTGCAGGACAGGGATTTTCACTTTGGTCTGTCGGACTCTGAAGAGGCCAGACTCTTAGTGTTTCTACTGTATTGCTTTTAATTCATTGCTGTAAAGCCTCGGCCTCTTCCAGGCATCATACATACTCAAGAGAGATGAGTACTGTTAAGAGTTGAATTGCCGAGGAGCTTCCCTGGTGGCACAGTGGTTGAGAATCCGCCTGCCAATGCAGGAGACACGGGTTTGAGCCCTGGTCCGGGTGGATCCCACATGCCATGAAGCAACTGGGCCCGTGTGCCACAACTGCTGAGCCTGCGCTCTGGAGCCCATGGGCCACAACTGCTGAGGCCCGTGAGCCTAGAGCCCGTGCTCTGCAACGGGAGAGGCCGCCGTGGTGAGAGGACTGCACACCACTGCCAAGAGTGGCCCCCACTCGCCTCAACTAGAGAAAAGCCCATGTGCAGCAACGAGGACCCAATGCAGCCAAAAATAAATTAAAATAAATAAATAATTAATTAACAACAACAAAAAAGAGTTGAATTGCCAAGAAGATGAAGTCCTAGCCCCCAGTTCCTATGACCTCATTTGGAAAGAGGGTCTTTACAGAGGACCAAGTTAAGATGAGGCCAGTGGGGGTGTGCCCAATCCCACAGGGCTGTGTCCTCATAAAAGGGGGAGGTTTGGACACAGAGCGGAGAAGGAAGATGCTATGAAGACACAGGGAGAGCACCACGTAGAAGCCAAGGAGTGCTTGAGGCCACCAGGAACCAGGGCACAGGCAGGGGAACAGATTCTTCCGCAAAATCTCAGAAGGCACCAACCCTGCCCACACCTTGATTTCCAACTTCTGGCCCCAACATGGTGAGACAATACATTTCTGTTGCTTAAGCCACCTGATTCGTGACACTGCGTTTGCAGCCCCAGGAACTAATACAAGTGTCTTCCACGTGAGTCTGTGGCTTCAACTCTTCCATCTTGTTTCACCATCAACAGGGATCAGCAGACCCTTCACCATCCCCCCAACCCCCAGGAGGAGCAGTCCCTACGTGACACTGACCTTCATGGTAGAGTTGAACAGAGTGGGTGGATACCATCACCGGCATCCCATTTTGACCACACTTGTCGCCAGATGCCACCTGGAACAGAACATGTGGCAGTATTAGCCGAGTCTTTGGGGAAAGTCAGAAAAACTCAAGGCCACAAGGGTGCCTCACAAAATTCAAGTCTGCATTTCTAGGAACTACCCCGTTTTCTATCACGCCTCAGAGAAACTCTATAACCCGCTGCAAGGACTGGACTCCTGTGTTGATAAGAGCTTTGAATGGTCTCTACCTCCTTTCAATGAGTCCCACAAGCACAAGCAGGACAGACACCCTCGTACAGATGGGACACACAGGCAAACTGGGGTGCTGGTCTGACCAGGGAGGGGACAAGAACTTGACATGCTGTGAGGTTAACCACACTCCAGGGTCCTGCACACAAGCACAGGCGTCTCTCGTCAAATACAGGAAGTTCGTTGTTGCTATTTTTCTGCTCTGTGTCCACTCCTTCCCCTGCACTGTTACAACCCCCTTCCGATTTTAGACCACTGCCCTGAATTTTTTTCTCTTCTGTTATTTACTGTAGACATTTAAAAAGATTATACATATATATGTATGCACAGATGTACATATATATACACACGCACATATACACATACTCTCACATGGAAAGGAAAAAAGGTTGCAAAAAAGAATGTATGTTATATAATGTCATTTTAGTAATAAAATAAATTATACCTCTAATAGTTGGCATTAACTGAATATTGATTATATGCTAAGTACTTTGCATATCGTGTCTTATTTTGCCAATACTATTAGTAGTATAATATATGTTAATAAGTGAAGAGAGAAAAAAACCTAAAAGACTAAATACTCACCTCCTGATGATGGGAAACTACTGGGGAGATGTGAAAGATGTTTCTTTTCTTTATATTTTTGTAACAGTTTTGCTTAAAAGAAACCTGTGTTGGGAGTTCCCTGGCAGTCCAGTGGTTAGGACTCGGTGCTTTCACTGCCAGGGCCCAGGTTCAATCCCTGGTCGGGGAATTAAGATCCCCCAAGCCACATGGTGTGGCCAAAAATAAATAAATAAAAATAAAAGAAGCCTGTGTTCCTGAATTTATCATTAACCCCACCAAGAAATCATAAAATTGAAATATCAAACTCGAGATCATTTGGGTCTGAGGTCATAACAGGCATCCCTGGGGTAATACTTGGTGTGCAAATTGATTTACTTGGCTCACAGAAGTTTTGTTTGTTTTTTTTTTTTTAAGTATTTTGGAATCAGTTGCCAATATTTAAAAAATCAGGAGGTTGCATTAACACCATTTTCCAGCTTCACATGAAAAATAAGTCTCTGGGAACGTGTTAAGGGTGAAGTTGGTCAGAACCAACTGTCTGCAAATGGGCTTCACCCTCCCGCTTTGCTCATTTTTGTCACTGCCTGGTCCTGGAGGCCAGAGGCTCCCAGACTCGGAATCATTTGGGGATCTTGGGAAACTACTGATGGCAGGGCCCCTACCCAGAGGTTGTGTTTTAGTTGGTCTCAGGTGGTGCTGGGCATCGGGCGTTTTCACCATTTCCCAGGGATTCTAATACGTGGTCAGGTGTGAGAACCTTCTCTGACTGCAGCCTTCTGTTCTGAGCAGGAATTCCCTCTATGCTGTGATCAATATCAGTTCGTAGGTATTACCTCCTCCTCCAATGATCTCCATGTCTAACTGGGCTCTAGATCTTAAACTGAGTTGATTGCAGAAGCACTGGTGGTGGACATTTAGCTTCTCTGCTGCCTGCTTGTAGATCTAAGGTCTAAGGAGAAGCATTTGGGTGTCCCTGGCCTCAGCCCTCCAGAGCAATCTTCTAAAGGAGGGATTCACAAACAAGAAGTTCTACACGTCGGCTGAACACGCAACAGCTGAGGAGCCTTGAAAATCCAGGTGCCGCCCTGGTTCCCACACACAGATTCTGATTTCATTGGTCTAGGGTACAATTCCAGCCTCACGATTTATGTTTAAGTTTCCCAGATGATTCTAATGTCCAGCCACGGCTGCAAACTGCTGATCAAAAACTGGGTTTCTCATCCTCAGCACTGCTGATACTTCGGGCTGGATCATTCTCTGCTGTGGGGCCGTCCTGTGCATTGCAGGGTGTCTAGTAGCATCCCTGGCTCTACCCACTAGATGCCAGTAGCACTACCCGAGTTGTGACAACCAAGAAACATCTCCAAACACTGCCAAGTGTCCCCTGGTGGGGAGGCAAAATCACCCACAGCTGAGAACCCCTGGTCTAAACCCACCTGGGAACAGAGATCAGATTGGCCCCAGGGGAACCAATCACCATGGAGACAGGTTTCATAGGCTCCCAGCCCTGCAATTTCTGACTCAGCAGGCCTTGAGCGGGGCCTAAGGGCCTGCACTCTTAACAAGCTCCTTGATGGGTTCTGGAGGTTTGAATACAACCGAACAACCCCTGGGAAAAGCAGCATCAACCACGCCTCTGTGATGAGCCCTGGGCAGGCTGTTTATTCTGCCGTTACCCCCGACTCTCCCAACTAGTAGCTAATGACCCAGTGACCATAACTACACCACCTTGTGAGTGTCCGCTTCCGAGTCGTTCTCTTGGTCCTCGACTCTTTGGGGGACACTCATTTGGTTACCCATTGTTCCTGCAACAGAGAAAAAGAGAGACACAGAGAAAAATGAAAACCCAAGACCAGCAGAAGTCTCACTCCTGCCTATAAAACTAAGGTGCAGAGACTGCCAAGGTATTGTGGGTATATTATCACAAGCCCCAGGTAGACCAATTGCTTGTGTTTATTTTGGGGAATGAGGGGAGATTTTGGGCTCATAAATTCAACAGAATTAAAGTCAAATGCAGCCCCAGTTTTCAATTACATTTCATTGCTGGGAGAATATTATCATCTCAAAAAGGATATTCCGCGTAGATAACATTTTCTTCTTTCTTAGCCAGTCACAACTATTATATCAAGAAGATTTTAGAATGGGGACAGTTAAAATAATACTTATAATTTGTAGTATTCTCTGATCCTCAAACTAAATTTAGTCCCGTTAAAACCTCTCATAGGACTGGCATTTTTTTTCATAGCATTTAGCACTACGTGTAATTGTGTGTTTATCTGGCTACATTTTCATTCATTTATTGATTCAACAAATATATAGTGAGTGCCAGCTCTGTACCTTACGCTGTGACACACACTAGAGTTACAGCTGTGAATTAAATGGATGAGGCCCCGGACTTCATGGAGCTGAAATCTGTTGGGTGGACAGACAATAAACAAATAGACAATAAATCCACAAATCAGGCCGTTTTCGATAGTTCAAGGCAGCATGGTGCAGTGGTTATGAGCACAGACCGGGAACAAGACAACCTGGGCTTGAACCCTCTCCCTGCCCCTCACTGCTGTGTGTCCTTGGATGAGTTGATTAGCCTCTCTGTGCCTTACAGGACTGCTACAAGGACACAATGAGTTAATGCTTGTAAAGCAGTTAGAATAATGTGTGGCTCTTAAGAAGCAATATATATGTTAATGTGTTATCAAAACACATAGGATTCAGTGCTATGAATAAAAACGAAATTTGTAACGTAACAAGAGGGGGGCCACAGCAGAGGGCAAGAGGTGGCAGCACTGAATAGGATGGTTCTGGAATGAAGTAACAATTGATCTAGATTTGGAGGGCAAAACAGAGCTTTTAACTTCTGTCTGCCTTCCCCAATAAACTGTAAGCACCACGAAGGCAGGGACTGTCTGTCTTTACCCACTGTTGTATCTCCTATTCTCAGCACTGCATTTGCATTGATCAGGTGCTAAATTATTACTTATTAGTTGAGTGGAGGGAATAATCATTCATCACAACCCCTCACCCGGCAGGGAGGCGCTGAACTAGACACTTACCCACATTATCACTAAACCTCTCAAAAGCCTTGTTAGAACAATAATGGTAATAGTTAACGATAATTTAGCATGTTCTCAGTTCCAAGCACTGTTTTCCAAGAGCGTTTCCTGTACCGTCTCATGTAGCCCTACACACCCGTGTGAAAGAGGTGTTGCCATCGTGTCCCTCTAGCTGAGAGGAAGCTGAGTCACAAGGAGGTAAATTACTTTCCAAAGGTCAGCCTGTTAAAGATGGCAGAGACTTTGTAAAACAATTATACTCCAATAAAGATGAAAAAAAAAAAGATGGCAGAGACTAGATTCAAACACCGGCTGCCTGTGCTCCCAACCACTGGAATGTTCCACATATTACTTTACAAGGGGAGGTAATAATATGTCCCACATATTATTACCTCCCCTTGTAAAGGAGGGAATTGAGTCTCCCAAACTCACCCAGGACACATCCAGAAAATGGCCGAGTGAGGATTTGACCCAGAGTATGTCTGGTTCCAGAAGTGGGACTCTTTCAGCCACTCCAAGCTTCCTTACTACCTAAAAGCTTTTCCACGCACACGAACGATTCCAGCATAGCGTGCGTCTCCAAAGACCTGGCTGCTGGCTCATCTGCCCTGATGGCTCCCAGAATAACAGCCAGGGCTTTTGCTTTCTGGCTGAAAGCAGCCAGTGCATCTCCAAGGATTCCCATGGGCCTCTGGCCCATGGTATGAGTTTTTATGCCCTGGTAATAGACTCAAGTAATCAGAAATTGGGGAGGCCAGAAAAGGGCTTTCTTGGGGGAACCTGGTAGAATCTGGGGATTATATATGTTTACTAACTACAACATGTAATCAGGCTGAGCAGTGCTAAAACATACAGGACACTAGTTATGTTGCAATATTTTCTATTTATAAAATCCGAGATATACATACTTACAATAGGCCATCACTTCATCTATAAATGGGACTTTATGAATATAATATTGAATATTCAAGGCCAGGGTCAGGAAATGACAGCTGGGGGACAAATCCAGCCTGCCGCCTGTTTTAGTATGGCCAGTGAGCTAAGAATGGGTTTTACATTTATAAGTGGTTGGAGAAAAAATCAGAAGAATCATAGATTGTGACACATTAAAATTATATGAAATTCAAATTTTGGTATCCATAAATAAAATTTTATTGGAAGACGTCCATGCCCATTCATTTATGTATTATCTACGTACGTCTGCTTTCACGTACTGAGGCAGAGTTGAGTAGTTGCAACAGAGACCATATGGCCTGCAAAGCTTAAGATATTTACTGTCTGGCCCTTTCTACAAAGTTTATCACTTCTGCTCAAGATCACCCTGGGTCACATATATACCCATTTTGCAAATAAGGAGATTGAAGCAGCTGGGAAGTTAAGTGTTGCCCAAATTGAGACTGACCAGGATTTGAACCCACTGTGTATAAAAATAATGACAACAACACTCTAACCATAGTAATGATAAGATAGTAATAATAATAACAACAAATTTGGTGAGTGCTTACGATGTGCTGAGAAACTGTTCTAAGAGCTTTACTTGCTGTAAATGAATTCATTCCTTATAGCAAATCAACAAGGCAGTGGCATCATCATTCCAGTTTTACAGATGAGAAAACTGAGCTTTGTAGGTTAAATTCCTCGACCAAGGCCACTTGCAAAAATGGACACACACTAGATGACATCTCCATCATCCAGGTTTTATAAAATTAAAAATTATTTACCAAAAGATTTACAAACTTTCAAAGTTCCTGTTATTCAATCTAAATTTAGTCCAATTTGGGGGCTACCTTCAATAAAAATATTTGAGGTTATGAAAAAATCTTTGGACTGGGAGAGATGTCATGTGTGCAAGCAGGAGAGAAATTTTTTCAACCCACAGAGTTCGGGTTCGAGTTCGGGTTCCATTACCCCAATCACTGCACTTTTAAGGAGCCTCTTGGCAGATTCAAGGCCAAATGGACTCAGAAAAGGAAAATCCATTTGCACGTCTTTTGCGGGGACAACTTGGACTCAGATAACATTGCTTTCCACCAGCAGTTACAACATATGTGTTGTGAAATTGCTCCTGCCCTTCCTTCAAATTCTGCGAGGAGCCTGATTTCCACGAGACAAAAACAGTTACTGCCACCTATTGGTCAATGTCAGTATCGGCAGAAATGAACATATTCAGCCTCCAGGGCAAGGTCAAAATGTCTGGGGAGGTCAAAGGAAACGGTTTTACATTTAGCACTTAAACCTTCCGATAAAAGTTGGCAAGACGGTGGCAAGTCCTCTAGCCCCAAAGATAGTACAACTAATAAGACAATAATGATGATCACATCTGCCTTATGACGTGCCAACCCAGTGCTAAGAATTCTAAGCGGAGAGCACTGCAGCAGGATAAAAATGTGGGCTCTGGAGAGAAACCACCAAGTTGAGAATCCCTGCTCAGCTACATACTGAAGGAGTGACCCTGAGCCAGTGACTGAGCCTCACTGGGCCTCAGTTTCCTCTTCTGTAAAATGGGGATAATAAGGGCACACACTTAAGAGTTTCATGGGAGTTAAGGCGTTAATACGTGGAAGGTGCCCCGAACAGGGTCTGGCACGCAGTGAGTACCCTGAAGGTGTTCTTCAGGATTAGAAGTATCACCATGATCATCACTGAGATTTTCAGTCATTTTCCCCCAGTTGTCTGATATGATCAACTAAAGAACTTTGTAGCACTTCTGATTCCCATGATCGTCTCACCAAAAAGTCAGGTTGGGGCCCTGGATCTGTAATTTTAGCAAATGCACACAGGTGATTCTCACGATCAGGCACATAAGGGGAAACACCGTGATGGGGACCATCAACCAGGTTGTCCCGGGAATGAGGGCATTCTGGGATGCAGGACTTTCCTGTTAAAGCTAGGAAAGTCCTGAGCAAACCAGGATAAGCTGATCACCCTGGAAGCCAGGTCGGGGACTCTGTGAGGCAAGGGCCCTTTTTATCCCCATTTAGCAGACGGTAAAACCGAGGCTCCAGGTGGTCCAGATGACAATTCCTGTCTGTGATGAAGTTTCCTCCAGTCTCCAACAAAGGAGAAACATAAATTAGATGACAAGTTTTTTCATCAAGAAAAACATATTCTTTGAAAGAGCTAGGTTTTATTTTGGAAAAAAAAAAAAAAGTTTGAAGGTGATGTCAAAATGCCCCTTCTTTGATGAACTGATGGTGTGAGTTGTTTTGTTCTTATGACCTTATCTCACATTAAACACAAGCCTCCATATGGCAGAGGGGTTTGTTTTTGAAATTGGACTCATGTTTGAGGGCCCAGCATTTGGAGAACATGGGGTAAGTCTTTGGATGGGGCTCATTCAGATGAGAAAGTCCCTTTCCTTCTCCGCTTCCCGACTGTGTCCTTGAGGCCAGTCTTCAAACTGGGTTACACATTAGAATCACCGTTGGAGATTTAAATGCCCGGGCCCGGGCCCCAGCCAGACCCATTCCATGAGACTCCCCGGGGTGGGGCCCCGGCATCGGAATATTTTCAAGATCTCTGGGTGACTTCCATGAGAGCTGAGGCCAAGAGGTGCTGTTTTGGATATTTTGGGGAAGTGAGCATCCCCCAGGCCAGGGACCCTTCCAGAGGCCGACTACCCTGGTACCCAGAACCAGGCTCGAGATTCTCATCTGGAGAAAGGGCATTGGCTTTCAGGTCCCACAAATCACAATCAGCCTGGGCATTTGAAAACATTCACAACCCTTTCAAAGCACTTCTTTTTTTTTTTT